TGTGCTGAACAACTCGGTAAACTGTGCAGTATTTTTGGGTGGTCCATCCTGGTTAATGGTCAGCGCCTGTCTAATTATTTTCATTTGCAACTATTTGTGTTGGTAAAATGTTATGAGGTTGAGGTCCTCTGCCCCCCCCAATAATAATAAGATCATCATAATAATTTCACTTCCCCATTTTGATGTTCTTTTGTTTTTAGTCAAGCCAGCGGTGAAGCTTTATGTATTGCCAGGTCGGTCGGTTCACGGTGACCATAGAATGAATCTTGGTGAGTCTGGTGAGCCCCTCAGTTTTCATCTACCGCCCCTAGACCATTACATGTGAGGATTCAAATATTTGAGATGAAAAATGAATTGTGGTACTTTTTAAAAAGCAGAGGGTACTTTTGACTTTTCACAGTTTATACCCTTTATCAGAAATAAAATAGGATTCTTTAATTTATATTTATCATATATATAATATATAAATAAATATATATTGACATTTAAAATATATTTCTATTTTGTACATTTCTTTCTGAGGTTCTGAATCTTTCTTCGTTTGATAGTTCATCTTCAATCTCATTTTATAAAAACGAATCGTGAGATAATCATATTGTGAACACAGTATCAGCTCTACTAAGTGTTAGCATGCTAATAGACAAAACTAGGATGATGAACACGTTTAAACTTCATTCATGCTAAAAACATCAGCATGTTAGCACTGTCATTGTGAGCATGTTAGCGTTTAGCTCAAAGCACCACTTTGCTTAAGTACTGCAGCACACAGAGAGAGATGGAGTGTTGTATTGATTTGGCTAAACGCTCACCATTGAACCGTCTCACAGGGAAAGCTCCAGGTCACCAGTGTGTATCTCCGACTCTGTGGGTTTCTGGTGAACTTCCGTCAGGCATGTTTGTCACTAAAAGGCCGGTGGCTGCAGACACTCTGACAGAAGTCCCTAGTAAAGATCAAACCACACTTCCTCCATTGCCTCTCTCATCAGGCACCTCGGGCACATAATGAAGTCATTCTGCCGCTCCTGCAGCTGGGGCCTGGATAATCTGGGATTGGGCCTGATAGTGGATCACAGGACAGCCCTCCGGATGAGGAGCGACTCTGTCAGAAAGCATGATCAGAGCAGGAGCCTTTGGCCCGGAAGTGCCTGTGGTTCTACTACAACAAAGGCATGATACATTTGCGCGGCTGTGTGACTATAGGGGGATTTTGTTTGCTGTGAATGAGTTCTGTTGATGGTGCTCGTGTGCGTGTATGAGTGAATGAGTAATGCAGACTTGGGGCCAAAAATGAATTCAGCGAGGACTCATAAAAGGCGTTGTGTATCATAAAACACACACAAACCACTCTGAGCTGCCTTGACACAATGAAAAGCGCAATGTTATGCAAATTGGACTTCATAACGAGATAGTCTCCCCAGGAGTCGACATTCGTAGAATGCACAAAGGCAGCTGGAGAGAGACAAGCACAGATTTGTTCTCGCAACAAAATTGTTCCTAATGCACACTTTCTGCTGGCTATTAAACTTACTGGAAAGAGTCGAATGTTTGTGATTCTTAAACCCCAGTGGCTCCATGTGTAACAGCTGCATCAATGAAAGCTACTACATTTTAATGTGTTTAGATGGGAGTCCCAATGATTATACAGTTGGACATCTGTGTGGGTGTGTGATTGTTTTCTGCTTGTAGGTGAATCATATGATTTGATTCCTTAAAGCTTTTGTCTGAGGAGTAAAAATGTTACTGCTCCTGTCCGATAAACCATGGGAAACAGTTTTACAGTTGTGAAATTCGAAAAAAAAAAGCTGAACATACCAATGAAGAGCAGTGTGTGATGAAATGTAGGGTTGAATCACATGTTGTGGTGCAGACAAACGATTGCAAGAAACAAATGACGGGAAGAGTTCATAGATGCAGGAATATGAAGAGGGGAAATTGTCAAATTTGCAAGAATGAGTCATTTTAAAAAGTAGATATGCAGATGATGTATTTTTGACCTCTTAGCAAATTTAGTATAGACATTTGAATGACTTTGACGGTTTGAGGAGAGACTTATGTAGATAAAGGAGCTTTAATCCAGGAATGAAGACCTGAATAGAGAGTGAGATTAGACAGGAATGTGAGAATGGAAAAGGAAATTTGGGAGAAAGGAAGAGCAGAGCTAGAAAACACGAGCAGTTTGACTACAGCAGAGATTGATGGATTGAACACATTTACATTTTAGACATTTAGCAGAAGCTCTCATTCAAAATGTCTAGAACTTCCCGCAGACTATTATTATCATGTTTTCCATATTGCATGTTGAGTCGTGTAATCAGGGTTTCTGCTGGTCTTGAAGAGAGAAGAGGAATTGAGTTTTCCCCGAAAAAATCTGCAGAAGGTATTGAAAAAATGTTCTTAATAAGCAGTAATGTTGCTTATAAAATAGTTTGTGTCTGAAGCTGTTGGCAGGTTTGTTTGGACACTGTCAGTACTGCTAGCTACAGTAGCAGCAGTAGACGTTTATTGTGTTATAATGTGCAGGTGTATTGGTTTTAGTAAAATGTAAATTAACTAATTTAATCATTCTTAATTGGTTTTTAATGGGTGTCCTGGAGAGGGTTTCAGGGGGCCCCCAGCACAAAGGGGAATAACTTAATTTCACTATAATTACATTTATACGTAACACAATGACACATGAATGTATGACTCTTTTGGTTTTATATACTTTCTGTAATAAAACATCTAAAAGAAAAGATCCTATCAGATTGGGGACCCTGGGAAAACTTCTTATAAAAATGGGGGTCCATGGTCTAATTTGTGCCAGTTAAGGGGCCTCTCATGTGAAAATGTTTGAGAACCAGTGGGTTAGTCTGTGTAATCATCCATTTTCTGCCACGTATCTTGATCCAGGTCGCATTAATTAAATTAGTTATATCATTTATAAAATTGTACATACTGCTGGCAAGGACTAAACAACCATATCATCCTTACTGGTTTTACATCACACTGTATATCAGTGTGATTGTGAACTAGATATTAAATTCTGTGTAGTCTTAAATTTAACTTTAAAACCTATAGAAACCCTGTTTGTGGCATCCGAACATACTGTACAGCATACTTCAGTGTGTTTGTTGTTTAAGGCTGCCTAGCTCTCACTGCCAGCACATTGTCTTTGCTTGCTGTCATCCAGTGGAGTCATAACCACATCGTAATGCTCTCGAATATGAATTCCCAGCCGGTCACTCTGAACAACAACCACAACATTCACAGCCCCAAGAAAATGGCCATGACTTTAACATTTTGTGTGGACTGCTGACCAAAGGGTACAATGATTCAGTCTGCCGGGAACTTTACAATGAGAGCCGCATGAGTGTAATTTAGCTTTTTAGATCCCCAAACAATAAGTTTAAACATTAATATAGAGTTTTATTTAAAACCCAAATGCTCTGACAGTATTCCTCTGCACATGAAAGAAGAGATGCTTCTGAGTAAACAAGAGTCTTTACAAGGCCGGTGGATTTCTAAGACTTGATGCAGTGTGACTGTCACATTAAAGCATGTCGCTGTGGGTCACTGAGCAATGTACCTCTCTCCTCCTTGCTCTTTTTTGACTCTGTCAAATCACTCTATTTCTGGATTTACCCCACCCCTCCAGCTGTTGGGTCCCTCTGTGCCCTTTTCTGTCTCTCCTGAAGTCGCTATTCATCTCCCCGTCTCAGAGTTGTGGTTGTTTGTTGTTTGGCTTCACTCAGAGAAGAATAGAGTAGCTTCTGCGTCTCATGAGCCGACTCCGACACACACACGAGCTTTTCATCATCACTGTCTTTCAAATCAGAGACATGAGTAGTAATTGTCTGTGTCCATTCCCTCTGTTTGGATCTGTATTACTCTCCAGTCTGGTGATATTAGCGGAAGTGTTTCAGTGGTTTTAATCTTCAGCAGAG